ATTTCTACACAAGTCCAGACAAAGAAAACCGATGTTACCAAAGACAAAATGGGGCATCAAAGTCATAGTTCTGACTACGGCAAGAGTTCCACAAATAAAACATTTCTTCTGAGACTTTCATGAAGCAAAGAAAACGCAAAGACACAAGTTGATCAGATGATTCTTCAGAAATGCAAGCTTGATAGCATAAGTTTCTACACTGATATCCAGAGGTAACCTTGGCAATAAATGATGAAGTGAAGGAAGACCAAGTTCACCACTTTGAAGTCAAATGAAGATTGCATCAACATTCATGCATTCATAAGAATATCATTTACACAATAGACAATGCATTACATTGATACATCTGAGTGCATTCAAACATGAAGTTTTACAGATCTTCAGAAGAACAAGAAGATTCATGGAAAAAAAATACCTTACAAGAAGAAGATATTCAAAACCGCAAATACAGGAATCACGCAAACATCTGAAGAATAGATGGACGCAATCCACAAGAATGAACATTATCTTGAGATTGGGTCATGTTACCCAATCAACATGTTATTTTGAAAAATAATGAGAAAACGATTTTCATAGTTTCTCATTTTATCTTTTCTAAAATGAAATTGTTGAAAAGTAAGAAAACGATTTCCTTAGTTTTTTTTACTTAGTAAACTATTTCCTACATCTGTAAGTCCTGCAGTGCATGATGTTTCCAAAAAGCCTTCGGGAGCTTTTTGATGTTTTCAAAGCCTTAGGGTCATCTGTAAGTCCTACAGTGCATGATGTTTCCAAAAAGCCTTCGGGAGCTTTTTGATGTTTTCAAAGCCTTAGGGTCATCTGTAAGTCCTACAGTGCATGATGTTTCCAAAAAGCCTTCGGGAGCTTTTTGATGTTTTCAAAGCCTTATGGTCATCTGTAAGTCCTGCAGTGCATGATGTTTCCAAAAAGCCTTCGGGTGCTTTTTGATGTTTTCAAAGCCTTAGGGTCATCTGTAAGCCCTTCAGTGCATGATGTTTTTAGGACCTCTGGAATGATGTTTTTAACATTTCAATTTTAATCAAAAGAAGAAAAATGAAAAAATTATTATTTTTATCGTCTTTGCTCTATTCTTGTTAACACAAGAATAAGCAAAGAGGAGCAGTTGTAAACACTAATTTTTTTGTTCATTTTTGTTTTTATTATTATCATTAAAATTATTATTATTATTATATATATTATATTATTATTATATAATTATTACAAAGCCCAAAGCGGCAGCCCAAATACAAATTCCAGGCCCAACCAGAACCGGCCCAGACTCAAATAGAAACCCTAAATTGATTTAGGGTTTCAGCTAGAATTTCTCAACCCTATCCCAGTCGCCGTTACTTCCAGAACATCCACGACGCCGCTCCAAGTTTCAGCCACCCCACGCCTCCAGAAGCCCAAGCCAGATGTCTCGTCCAGCCGTTGTCGACACTTCAGTACTGCCACGACGCCAACAGAGGATTCCAGAAGGCCAGCTTCCCCCCCCACATGTCGCGGCTATGGGGTGAGTCACCACATAGCTCGGTGACTCACCGAACTTCCCCCTCTGGACCGGTCCGAGCATGGCTCTGTGGTGGTTATAAAAGCCACCGGATCCTACAAAACAGAGAAGAGGACGGAGAGCAACAAAAAAAACAGAAACAAAATAAAAAAAACTACCAACGATCCCAGTTAACAACAACAAAAAAAAAGAGGAAAAAACCTTACTCTGTCATCGGAGAACCCCAACCGTCGCTGGAAACAACCAAGACTCGAAGGTATTTTCATAGATTTGCCCCGATCAGGAGCTTTTTAAGAAAAATGGTCACCGGAACCATCATTAGGACGGTTTGATCTACGTTTTGGTAAAAAAAAATAAAATTTCCCGACCACCGGATGCGGTGGCCGGCGGAGGCGAACGGCTGCCGGCCGGTGCCGCTTCTCTCGTTTTAGAGAGAAGCCAGAGAGAACTCTGGCTCTCTCAGTTTTGATAGAGAAGAGAAAGGAAGAAATGAGAGAATGGCCCGTAGGGCCAGCCGGTTTCGGGTATTTATACCCCTTCCCAAATGACGCCGTTTTGGGAGGGGTATATCTGTAATTTCGCGCGTGAAAAATCCTTTCCGCAGCCATCTTAGTTTGTAATCATTACAATTTAGTCACTGAAATTGATTTCTGATTATTTTAGTTTAGTCTTCTAATTTTATTTTATTTTAATTTAATCCTTATCAGCATATATATATATAGGGTAAATATCAAATTTAGTCCCTCATAGTTTAGTAATTATTATTTTAATCCCGTATTATGAATTATGGTTAAATTACACTTTCAATGCCCATCTTTTATATATTTCGAATTAGTACTCTAGTTTTATAATTTTACATTTTAATCATTAAAATTTCATTTTTGATTTTTTTTAATATTTTGTATTTTAATACTATATTTTTAATTCCTTTTATTTTAATCATTATTTGCAATATTATTTTATCATTATTATTTTTTATTATTATTTTTATTATTTATATAAATATATATATATATAATAAATAATATTTGTTTATTCGTTAAAATCCTATTTCATAAATTATTTTTAATAATCATATTTTAATATATATTTATTTATTTTTCAATATTAAGAAAGGGCAGTCTTAAAATAACTGGATGTCCATTTTCTGATATTTTTAAATAAATAAATATCCTATTTTTTTAAATTATATATTAATTGTTTTAATTATTTATTTATTTTTTAATATCAAAGAAAATAGCTGTCTTAAGGCACCTAGAAGTCCTTTTCTGATATTTATAAATAAATAAATATTTTATTTATAAATATATAAATTAAGATTTTTTTCATAATTATAATTTTGAAATAATAGGATTATAAATTAAATATATTTTGAATTTTTAAATTTCTAATAATAGAGACAATTTATAATTAAAAAGTACCAATTTTGGGCGTTGTAGGGGTGCTAATCCTTCCCTAAACGTAACCGACCACGAATCCCTTTTTATTATTAAAAAGAACGAATTTTTGGTTAAAACGCAGATCAGTTTATCTTTTAATCGATGTTTTCTTAAAAGCTCTTTTAAAAGATAATTTTTAGGTATTCGACCTACCTGACCCAAAAGGTCGATGGCGACTCCCAAATCATTTTAAAAAAACATTTATTCATATCACTTTTCCCGCCGAATAAAAAATTCGTGCCCGAACGAAAACCGATTACGACATGTGAAAATAACAGTCTTAGCTGATGTATCATCATTTTCCTTGGTAAGTTCCAATCGGATGTTTTCAGTACATGACATGGGCTTCGTATGCATATTTTATTTAAAAGTATTATGAAAACTTCAATAATTTAAAGGGTGAAGTATAAAATTAATCCTCAAACTTTAAGACGCTTGCATTTTAGTCACTCAATTTTTAAAATTTATAATATAATTATTGAACTTGTAGTTCATTTTCAGTAAGACTCATGTCCTTATCTCTGGTTAATTTTTTTTAAGACGTGGCAGTTAGCTCCGCCGTTTTTGCCGGCATGGCAGTTAAAACCCCCTCCCCGGCTTCTTCTCTAAAAAAATCTTGAGAGAAAAACCCTCAAAAATCTTGAAACTTTAACACCATTGATGTGACCTTCATAGCTTCAAAATTTAACCCATTTTATTACAGAAATTCAACTAGTATATCTAAGGAAATTTTCATTTTGAATTCACCACTGAACCCATTTAACCACCAATCAATGTTGCATTTGCTATTCTTTTTCCTTTTCCTTTCTACCATTTCTTCATCTTTTTGCCACCATAGTTCTCCATTGTTACTTGAAGGCCCTGTTTTTTTCTTCTTCTTTTCTATTTCTTCACAAAATTCTTCTTTCTACCATTCTCTCGGCTTCCTATTACTCTCTTTCTTCTGAATCTCTCTCTTTCCAGGATCCTGCTTCCACCACCAATCTCTTCTCGAATTAGGGATGGCAATGGGTCGGGTCAGGTTTTTGGTCCACCCGACCCGAGAACAAAAGAACCTCCACCCGAGACTTAACCCGACCAAAATAAGGTCTCACCCGACCCGACCTGAATATATGACTTAGAAACCCGACCCGGCCCGAAATAAAAAAAAAAAAATTATTCAATAAAAATAGTGACTTAATTGAAAAAAAAAATTATATATAGAAAGCCATTATTGTAATTATTCCTAAATATATAAGAAAAAATTATATATTTTTCGGGTCGGGTTCGGTTCAGTGGTCATCCCTATCTCGAACCACCCTTTTTGTTACTAACCAAATCTCTCCCACTTTATACACTAACCTTATAAAACAACCCTTTAGTTAAACCACTTCCTTTTTTCAATCTCATCTCCGGTGAAAAAGTCGGCGACGCCTCGGAATCCAAAACTCTAAGCACACAGCTTTCCGGCGACCTATGACAATCAACAACTGTCAAGCTCACACCTTCTTCAAAACTGGTTAAAATGCTTTCTGTTTCTTCTAAAATTGATCTATTATCTTCTACATCGACTTCACCTTCTTCAAGCCTTTCAACTAGGTTCTCTGTTTTCAATTACGATCTCTGTTTTGTAAATTAGTTTCCCATAGCCATAGATTTTGATTGATCAAGAAGAAGAATATTTGTATAAAGGGGTTGAAATTTGAAGCTTTGAAGGTCTCATCTATGGTGTCAAAGTTTCAAGCTTTGTGAGGGTTTTTCTCACAAGATTTGTGAGAGAAGAAAAAGAAGCAGGGGAGGGGGGTTTAACTGCCACATCAGCGGAAACAGCGGAGTTAATTGCCACATCATAAAAAAACTAACGGAAGTTAACGACCTTAGTGAAAATAAACTAAAAGTTCAATGACGATATTACAAGTTTTAAAAGTTGAGTGATCAAAATACTAACACTTTAAAAGTTTAAAGACTATTTATATTCTTTACCCTAATTTAAAGTATAAATCGATTTTAGTGGATGTCTCATTCATAGAAGCAAGTTGTGATGTAATGGAACTATTAAAATGGCTAAAGTCTATCCAATAATGATCATAATTTATTTAGAACAGAGTAAAGAAAACAGGTGGGACTCGAAATGATAACGATAAAGCAAGTACTGCTCAAATCACAAAAAGAAAGGTAGAGAAACATGTCCTTTCTTACATATGAATTGTACTAAAAGCATGGGAAACTTATATGAAATATACAAATACATACAGCAATTTAAGAAACACACAAGTTCATCACCATTCTTCTTTTAACTTGAGATTCAAGCCTCCTCCTTTTTTGTCACTTCATCAGCGTTGGGGTGGTAACCAGGAAGCTTTTCCTTGATTTTCTCCAAAATTCCCTTCTTTTCCTTTGCGTCGCCTTCATGATGAGGCTCAGCTGCTGCTGGAGGTGGGCTACTCACCTCTTCAGCTTTCTTATGTTGTCCAGGGAGCTTCTCTTTGATCTTCTCAAGGAGCCCTTTCTTTTCAGGCGTGTCTGGCTGAACCACTGGTTCATCATACTTTTCGACCGGGACTACTGTGTCCTCTTCTTTGTTTTCCTCTTCGATCTTCTCCTTCTTCTTTTTCTTCTTCCTCTTCTCTCCTCCTTCACCTTCTTCTTCGTCGCTCGACTGCGTGTTTCAGACAAACAGATTAAATGTTAGGAATAATTAAAGTATGATCCGCAAATGGAAACTTGTTAATGTTCTTACAGAACTGGAGCTGCTATCTGCTCGGTGAAGCTTCTCCAGGAGACCATGCTTCTTCTTCTCCTCTCCCTCTTCCTCTGCCTTCGTTTCTTCAATCTTAACCTTGTCAAACTCAGTCACGATCACCTCCTCTTGGGGCTTCTCCTTTTCTTTCTTCCCCATGAAATCGAACAACCCTCGGTCCTTGGACTCAACTGTTTCTTCACCGGCGACGCTGCTCTCGACCTCAGGGGCCTTGTTGGTATGTTCCTCTGCCATTTTTTGCGAATCAAGAAGCACTAAAATCAAATATGATCAAAGCTAGCTAGTGCTGCGCTGCACTTCTTTAGAGTTGGCTACTGAGTAGTGATTGGCGGATTTTGGGAAATGGGGAGCTGGGATTTTATAGCATCCAAAGCCTCCTCATTCGCAACGCGGACCAGACGCGATTTAGAAAAATGAGACATCCAAAATTAACGGAAGCTAACGGGCTAGCTAATCGAGCGCAAATCATGCATTGATATAAGTAAAATAAAAAATTTGAAACATATACTCTCCAAACATAATTTTGCACACGTGTCAAATAAAACAATCGATTGTTGTAGTCGTTTATAAGCTAGCGCTGGTGGAAATTAACAGTCAAAAGACTGGAAAAAAGAAGACAGTCTGTACTACAAGTCATGCGAGCATGGGACCAATCCAAATTGACACGTGGAAGAATAATGTGGAGGGCGGCTTTGGCCTGCAAAGGTCGGTGTAGGGACCCAGACAGAGATACGTTACCTGGGGCTGTGCCTATGCGACTGTCAGTTGGGAGGTTTGGGACTCTACGGATTTAAAATAAAAAATATATACTGCTATTTTTTTTCCATTGAAAAATATAATATTATGACGGGACGAATCTATAGTAAAGGTCGCATGCTTACAATTTTAAGTATACAATTAATTAAATTATTTTTATTAAATAAACATTAAAAAAATTAAGGATCATTGTATGGTTAATATATCTTAAAATTTTAAATTTAATTGTCAGTTTAATAACTTTCGTTAAAGATAATAATATTAGCGTGACATGATATAACATACTTTTATTATATTTTTAGTTTTCACATCATCTTTGTCAACTTTTTAATTAACTTTATTTAACTAATTAGATGATGACGCATCACAACTATGAGAATAAAATGATAGATATCATTCATGCTACTAACATGAATTGAATCTATGTCACTTTGAACTAGGCTAGTAATCTAAATTAGTTTTATTATATTTTATATTTAATTTATAAAATAGTATAACCACAAAATTAATATTTTTTAGATGATTATTAAGATTAAAATGTTTCAAAAAAAGAGCAAACATAAATTGATCGTTTACATAAAAATTAAGAGAGAATTTTATTATTATGCCATTTTAAATCTATGTAGTTTGAGATGATGGATGCATTTTACTCGAAAACTAATATCTTCAAAATCTGGCTGGCCCATGCCAATCCAAGTGCGTAGCCCATTCAACTATAGGCCTGACTGGTCGTGCTTAAGGTTTTTTTCGGCCTAATAAGTCAAAACTAATAAAAAAAAATTAGCTCAATAGGACATGTGAAAGTTTATTATGAGATCTACGATATTTACTGTAATGACTTGAAACTTGTCACATTGAAATGATGAGTTTTAAAAAATATTTTTTTTATTTAAACTATTTACTCTGATGTGATAAAATTTAATAAAAAATATATTTTATTAGAATTCATACCTTGATGTGATAAGTTTGAATAAAAATATTTTTTATTGGAACTCGTCACCTTAAACTGACGAGTTCCATGAACACGGTAGAAAATAATGTAAATCCAAAAATAAAAACTTGTGTGTCTTATTTTTTAAGTATATATACAGTTTGGTCTATTGGGTCGAAAAGACTTGTGCTCAGTGTTTTTTTTTTTTGCCCAATACCCCAGGCAGCAAAATTATTTAGTGTGCGTTTGGTTCACGGAATGTAATAATACCAGTGAGAATGTAAGATTACCAGGGAATAGAATTACTGGGAAATGTTGTATTTTGTGTTTGGTTGGTTTAACAGGAATGTAATATTACCGTGTTTGGTTAAAGGAATAAAAGATTATTGCAATGTATATTTGACCAAATTGTCCTTATTATATATTTGTTTTTTTAACAAGTTGGAAAATATTTATATATTTTCTTTAAAAAATTTAAATTCATAAAATTTATATATATATATATATATATATATATATATATATATATATATATATATATATATATATATATTACAAAATTGAAAATATAAAAATGTTTAATGAAATGGTAAAATTTTATTTTAAGCCTTGAACTTCATATAAAATTTTAATTATACATTTTTTTTGTAAATCTAAAATAGTTTAAGGATAAATTTGTAATTTAACCTTCGTAGAATTTTTATTATTCAATGACAGAAGAATGATATTTTTAAAAGAAAAAAAATTTAAGGGCATTTTAGTCCAAAATATCGGTAATCCAACAATACCTAAGGAAATGGAGGTAATGACATTCTCGGTAATATACCCAAAAAAATCTACTATTAGTAATAAAAAATTATCGGGAATGAGATTCTCGGCCAACCAAATATGGGAATGTGGATTTCATTCCCATGGGAATCATACATTCCTTGATCCAAACACCCTCTTAGAGTAATGGGCCTACCAAGAAATTATTTTGGGGAATACAACATTCTCTACAGTAAACACCGAACTCGTCACGTTGACGAGTCTAATAAAAAATAATTTTTAATGGTCCTTGTGTTGTAGGCCCCACGTGGGCCATTATTTTATTTGGATTTTAATGTCTCATCAAACAGAGATGACGAGTCTAATAAAAAATAATTTTTAAAAAAATATTTACAAAAAAATAGAGAAACTTGTCACGTCGAGGTGACTAGTTCCTTCAAATTCAAAATTACTAGACGTTTTCTAGCCATTGGTCAATGGTCAGTCGGGCAGTAATGGTCACATGAAACTCGTCACCTCGACGTGATGAGTTCGGCCGGGTAAAATTTTAAAAAAATAAATTAAAAATAAAAATTAATTTATTAATACAATAAATAAATTTTTACATGAAAATTACAACTAAAATTTATTTATGTCTTCGAAGTTCTTGATAATGCCGTGGAGTTGTTAAATGATAATATCGCGAGGCTCGTCGAGTACGTCAGGGTCGTAGGCCTTGGTTTTAGTCATCATTGTTGTTTTATTGATGAGGTCTACTTAACACACTCTACGATCCACCTTCGAAATACGTTGGTGGATTTATAACATTTGACGCCATCATCGTCGTAATTGCTTTGACTTGGCTTTGGTGACCATATAGGATATGGTCCTACTCACCCGCAACCGCATGTTCTGTGGAAGATCCTTTAGTGTATTGCGATAGGGCCCATGAACATCCAACCCAATTCAATCCAGTCTCTTAGATGCTGAAGTAGAAGACGACGACATTTTTTTCTTGGACTTCGACTTGGTGCGTCTGGCTTGATGATTTTTCCATTCTACCATTTTTCTAGTGTCGTCAGATATAGTTTTCCATTTGCTTCATAATTTCGAAGATAGGGAGAATAGTTGAAATCGAGGTCCAGCAGTGTGATGCCCTGATACGGGGGGAGTGATTGGTCACGCTGATTCTATTACTCGATGTAGAATGCGTGCCTCACCGACCAATTCTCGGTATGTTTCCCACGCTATCGATTGTATGGAGTGCGTCCATCTCAACCGTAAGCGTAAGAATCAAATGATGCGACGTAAACTGTCGCATCAATCTGTTTACTGCGTGCCACTCTACAACTGCATGATGCAACAACAGTGTCACGTTACACCATAAGGGGGACCCCTAAAAAATCCCGTCGATAATAACTGGTTGATCTTTTCGTCGATATACGGAAAAACTAGATAACTTTAAATATTAAACATCAAAGTTAACATATATAAAGTTAAAAAGATTCAAAGAAAATAATAAAAAAATTCATGTCATACCACAAATCGACCGGCGATGTCAATCATCAACTGTATATCTCATGTAGTGGCACCCGCCAACTTTGTCTTGGAGATTTTATTGCACCATCTAAAATATTTAAAAATAAAAATATTATAAAGAAAACAAAAAAAATTAAGTTTACAAAATTAAAAAAATAAATGAAGTTAAATAATTACCTTGCAGCCAGCGGAAATTCGACCAGGGCATTTGTAACTAGCGTAAAAAACGGGAAGCGATACCAAGCCCAGGACTGTAGCAACATCAGACAGCCTGCTATATCAGCTGGTCGACCCGGTTGGGCAAGTGCGGCCTTGAAAAGCTCCTGATAAAGAAATGCTAAAATCATCGAGCCCCAACTGGTATTACGACACACAACGACGTCTTCCAAATATTGTAGATATTGTGTGTCTGCCAAATTACAAGATTTGTCCAGTAATAATAGCCCTCTGATCACTTGGAGAAGAAATGCTCGGGAGGCGAAAACAACCTCCGCCTCGGTAGACTCATCCGTGACTTAGAATTTGGACTCCAACCACGTTATCATTACTTGATAACCCCTAATAAGGTTAGATGGTTACAATTTCCCCAAAACTTGATGAATTAACATCGGGGGTCATATTTTATACGCAACCACGAGGGCCCTATTCACCGAAATATCAAATTGGTAAGCAGCGTCTTCTAGAGTAAATTTCATTTTACCACTCGAGAAGTTGAACATGTGTGTCCCGGGCCATTAAAGTTCGATCAGAGCCTCGATCAACACCGAATACACCTTGAAGCGATGTAAAAAATAGACCGGATTGATTTAGATACGTCATCATCCGCTGATATGACTCTCTAGTTGTCATCCCCCGACTACGAATACTCCACTCATTGTTGTGCAACACGTGTTTGATCGATGAAACATAGGAGTTATCCAGTCGTAACATATACTCTCGGGTTGCCATTTTTTGACAGAACGTGCGAATTTTTGACAGAACGTATGAATTTTTGCATTTTTTAGATTCAGGGTTTATTGAAAAACCAAAATATTGAGCTCATGCGAACAACCAAAAATGTCAAGATGGGGTGAATTGGTCTTTAAAAAAACTTTGGTATGGAAGCAATAAAATATAAGAATTAGACACAAAACTTATAGTGGCTTAACTTTCTCAACAAAAGTCTACATCCACTACCTTAGCTCCATACTAAGGATTTCAACAAATTCACTAATTTGTTCTTTCTTTTTCTAGGCTCAAGAATAACATTTACAATTCTGTAGTTTTTCAAGGTTAAACTATAACCACTCCCCTTTTACAAAGGATAAGAAATGTAAACAAAAAACCTCACAAGGTAGGTGTTTACAAAGATTTAAGCT